AAAAAAAAAAAAAAAAAAAAAAAAAAAAAAAAAAAACTTACGCCTTTAGTGAATGATGACTTTTATTACTTAACTTCTTTCCAGTCTAAACTGCGGTTTTTTCTTATTGGTTCCTTGTTATTTTCACCTTTATTTTATCCAACCACTGTAATGGGTTGGATTTTAACTCACCAAAGGTGGTTTAAAACATACGTAACTAGACATGCTTTTAAACTAGAGCCGAGTGGCATTTTTCCAACCTTGGCAAGTTGGTCCTTTGAATCCCAGAGTACAATTGCAGGCAAAGCCTCCGCCGATTTCTGTACAAAACCCGCCATGACCACACGGATTAGGTCTGCAAGGATCTTTGTCTAAGGTTTCATGAAAAAAAAAGTTTAAATTTCAATTGGATATAGCATTTAAATACAAAAGAGCTTTGATTGAGGTAATATTCACATTGCTTAGTAGAAAAAAAAGGGAAATCTGGCTTATCGTCGAACAAATTGAGTCACAAACAAAACGTCTGTCTGAACCTTGAGATTAGGACTCAGATAAATGAGTTGAGTAAATTTAAAAGATTAGCCAATTATTTTATCCTTGACCTTTTTCAAATCATCTATTAAATATATTTTTATTCAAATCTCTTGGGATCTGGGAATACTCGGTAAAACTCTTTTTCCAATGGGAGAAGAACGGTTCATTCATTCTCTTATGCACTGTTGCGATCTAAAACTGGTAAGTTGAAGATAAGCCGACCTTGACAAGTGGTTCCTCTAAATCCCAAGGGACATTCGCAATCGAAACCTCCACCAAAGTAATGTGCCACGCATCTTCCTCCGTTCTGACAAGGATTTGGCTGACATTCATCTTCCTCTGAGAATAGAAACAAGGCAGATGAGATATTTGATCTCTGAATGCCCCGGGAGCACTTATCAAGAGCTGGTTCTCGGATGGCACGTTGGGGAGGTAGCGTGATATTGTGAGACATTTGAGTTTTGCCACAGGCGTCGGTCAGTGTCTGATACGTTCCTTTTTTTGGACTTAATTTCCTTTTTCCATTTTCAAAATCGCTAGTGATTTATGGTCTAACCCTTTATTGGTAATATAGTGCAGTTAAATTAGAAATCACACCTGGTGGCATACTTAGCGTAGCTCAGAAAAATTTTTTTTAATATTCTATAGAAAAATCTTCTGAAACGTAGTTTTCGCGTTGAATGGCTCCTTATTGCTTTATTAGTGTGCTTAGAACTCATATATTTCTTTGGGAGCTGGAGAACGGGGATAACAATGAGGCCAAAAGTAACTTGTTTGTATTAATCATGTACCATTGCAACCGACCTGTGCATGTTTCTCCTCTGTATCCTGTCGCACATCTACAGACGAACCCTTCAGATGTTGACAGACATCTTCCTCCGTTGTGGCATGGGTTTGGATGACATGGTTCTCTTTCTGTTTTGAAAGGAAAGAAAACTGTTACAAAAGAGGGTAAATCTTATATAGCCAGATGACCGACTCTTACGAAACTTTGCTGCTCAAAGAGATTCTTGCTGCTCACAGATTCTTTGAAGATGTTTTTTAACTGGCTTCAAATGGAAAGCGTAATTTGCGTTCCGAGTACCAACCGTTGCAAAATGTCCCTCTGTGGCTGGCAGGACAGGAACAAACAAAGCCTCCTTCCTCCGCCTTACAGGTCCCACCATGTTGACAAGGATTGGACAAACAGCTGTCAACAGCTGAAAAAGAAAATAAGAAAATTTATCAGCCTTAGATTACATCACGTTGTTTGGGAAAACATCATCTCAAGTTGTAAAATGCAAACCTAGTACCCTGTCTTAGTTACTACTTTACTTGTTTGTTAGTGGGTTGTTTTACTCAGTAAAGATTTCAAGCAACGTAATTTGTAATGATTACACAACTGGGTGATTTTTTAACATTATACAAAGCAAGTAATAAGTGCAACTATTTTCTGAAGATTTCTTGGCATCACACAAAAAGAAAAGACATCTTTAGCCTTGTTGTTGTTTATAGCTCATGAGATGGAGATTATTTCGTTAGTATCACTTCAAAAATGTTAATTCTTTACTATTATCATCGGTGAATGTTTTGGTAGAAACTGGTGCAAAACTGAGCTTACTTTTACACTGGTCGCCTGTGTATCCTCTTCTACAAGAGCACGTGTAGTGATCTCCCTGTTTTGTACACGCTCCTCCATTGTGGCAGGGGTTGGGTTCGCACGGGTTCTTTTCTAAAAGATAGAAGGCGTTTCTCATTAAAATCCGTCTCGATAGTAATTTGTGCAGTACATACACATATGCATACATTTGTATCAACAAGTTGTCCAGTGAAGTTCCATCTAGTTTTTGAACAAGAAGACCTGGTATCAAAATGACTGTAGGTAAAGGTAAAGCCTGCTTACGAGGCAAGTGGCCTATCGATGCTTAACTTCGGTTTCCGTGGCATGAAGCGACTAGGAGTATTTTTACTCCCCCCTGGATAGAATGCTAGTCCACGGCAGGGCTACCTGCAGCATTAAATTCGCCGGAAGAGAGGCACTGTGAGAGTAAAGTGTCTTGCCTTAGAACACGGGAACCCGGCTAGGTTTGAACCCGGACCACTCGATCCGGAGTCGAGCGCATTAACCATGAGGCCACCGCGCCTCCAATGACTGTAAAGGACAAAATTTGGTAAAGTTGATGACGTCACATGAATCGTTCTTTTCGATGATTGCCGAAGAATACTTTGTAGCGTTAAAGGGACATTCTAATCCCTCAAGCTCTCGTTGACAAGTGTCAGTGACAATATTTGATTCACAGTGTACTTGCCACGGAAAAACTGTCAATACGAGTTTGATGAAAGACGATGCGCTTTTGTCAAAATTTACACTCGCTCTGAAACATCCCAGTTAACAACGTTCTTGTCTATCAGTGACAGAGGCGAAGTTTTGAATTTGGAGCATCTCTCCATAATGTCCTTATACTCCTATATGATCTGAGAAAATAAGTTGACTATAGCCATGTTTACCAGCCGGACGACGCCCTCGCATCTGCACTTTAGGGAAAAACGCGTTTGTAACTCAATTCAACTTTCTCCGTTCTGCAATTTTATCTTGAAGAAGGGACTTCCAGTAAAGTGTAAAAGTCTTAAATGGCAGCAACCAAAGCCATTCGATGCTGATATCGCTTAATTAGTTTGTTATTCGAAGTTTTATATCCAAGGCTTAGGCCAGTGGCATTTATGGCAAGGTTCATCGGCGCAAATATTTTATCGTACCTTGCTCCTTTCTTAGGGATACCAATGAGACATACTAACACATTCTTCATGTATCCTCATTTTCATCGAGCCACAAACGGCTCGATGGAGATCCTTCTCTTTTTTACTTCCGTTTTTGGTTTAGAGCATGACGCAAAAATTGTCTTTTCACCCATATGGATCTCGAGACAAGGATAAATCTGACCCATGACGTCCACCAGCAGAAGACATAAAATTTTTATATGAAAAAATTCCTTGAAGAAAAGATGTAGAAGTTTTAGGTTCATGCTTGAAGTTGTTTTTTTGTGGTAAGTGAACACGAACTGTGAAACAACGATTAGAATGATTTCTGAGATTCACCATGGAAATTTCTTTGAAGATGAACAATGGAAGGACAACCAGCTTTTTCTGGGTTCATGTGGTACCCGCAGTTGCGAGCAAACGATTACCTGCTACCAACAAATGCGACATAAAACTTTTCTATGAAAATTAGTTTTTCATCGACAAAGTTATTTGTTAGTCGGTTCCGGTACACTTGGCAAATCAAACCTCTAGCCTTAAATAAAGTATAAAAAATGGATCCTTTTAACTTAAAAGCTGTGTATATTTTTTAGGCTATTGTATTAGTGTGTAGAGATTTGCTTCAGGACAAATTAGAAAAATAGTTCTTATTCTAAAAAATACTTTTGTAATTTTAGGTAATAATTGTTTAGTCTTTAGTTTATTATATGACTCAAATCTTCCAAACTAAATAATAGATCATTAAAAAAGGTTAGAAAACGGAATTTTTAAGCAGTGCAGTTGCTACATATCACATAAAACAGTTTTACAACCTGCAATGTTAGGGTTTCGATAAATGCCTAATTCTTCAGTTGACCTGCCAAACAATATTTTCTTAATATGTGAAAAGTAAGTTATGTTTGACGTAAAAATGTGGCAAATACTCGTGGGGAAAATGGGAACAACATGATGCCCATTATCGTATCATAATCAAGCCATTGAATCACGTTAGGGCACAGGGACGCACAAAATATGCAACCGTATAACATTGCAGATGAGGAAAAAAAAATACATTGATGGTGGAGCAACAAAACAACCGCACTGAAAGATTAAAACTTTGATTTTTTCCCCATTTTTCAGTTTTTGCATTTTAAGTTAGGCTTAAAGATGTATATTTCGAAGCCAAATTAATTCAAAAGTATTGTGGGGAGATAAATCCCTTTTCCAGTGGTTCAAGGAATAAGACAAGCTGAAATTTTCCCCACTGCTCGCGTTTTCCTTGTCCCTACTGAGCGTGGAAAGTACTACGCAACTGGCAAAATATCCGCCCGTATTATATGTTAAACCAGCGAATAAGGTGCATTTAATTGACATAAGTAAGCGATAATGAAGATTTTCAAAAATCCAATATTTTAGGAGAGAGGGTTTTCTGATTGTCGCATTGCTAGAATGGGTTATTAGTTAGGTTCGTCTTGCTTGGCCTCAAGTTCTACGGAGATCTGATAAGAAAGCTTTGTATGACTGGAATTATTTAATTCATGAAGCAGATAAAGTGGAAAATCTCACCATCGCAGTTTTCTCCTTTATAACCAGGAAGACAGATACATTTATGACCTCCTTCGTATCCTAAACACTGCCCACCGTTCTTGCAGGGGTTTGGTATACACATGTTCATTTCTGAAGGTGCTGAAGAAAAGTTATTGTAAATGTACAGAGTTGACTGGTAAAATGATGCGAGATTCGGCTTACTTAAAACATAAGGATGCCATGCCAAATTATTGCTAGATATTAAGACCAGCTATCAGCTTTGTTTTTGTGGTGCACTCTTTGAAAAAGATTGGGCCTTGCTGACAGATGATCTCAGGAAAAAAAAACTAGGCAATCACTTTTTACCCTAATTCTTAACTAGCTTACCTTCGCACCGTAATCCCTGAAACTGCGCTTGGCAGTGACACTTGAAACCATTTTCTGTTTCAACACAATCTCCGCCATGTTGGCAAGGATTAGGCCGACAGTGATCTACTTCTAGGAATTTAAAATTACAAAGAAGCCGTGAGGCGCAAATTCTATCGAGTAATCCAATATGAAGTATATAACGCAACTAAGGCAAGTGACACACAACGTCCCGACCCTATCCCAATTTGCGACTTCTAAGAATATTTTCACTCCTCCTGGGATTGGACGCTAATCCACCTTAGACAACCCTTACCATTTTTCTGAGTTTCCTAAACAACTCACGGGTACTCACGAATACTCAAGTGGATAAGTCAAGATCATCTTAGCCAAAAAAGAGATGATGATATCAGGTAATAAAGAATAACAACTATTAGTGTTTATTATATCTGGTTCGAAGGCGAGGAGGGTTATGCGTTTCCCTACTCTGAAAATAAAGTTAAACCGCTAGGCAAGTGTACAATCTTTTTCTTGCTTACAAGAGAAGGGATATTTCATGAAAAACGTCGCTGGATATATCCAAGTATTGACTGATCGAGCCACGTGCGTTATCTTGCACAAGGTTTGATATACTATTGCCTCTCACTACACATAATATAACATGTTTATTCCGAAGAATAGAACGAGAGCTTGTAATGGCTACAGTCTCATTTCACTCTACTCACCATCGCAGTAGGAGCCTTTGTATCCGGATGGACAAATGCATCGAAAGCCACTGTCATGCTCAATACACTTGGCGCCATTCTTACAAATGTCTGGTTGACAGCTATGCCGTACTAAGGTATATATACATATATATATATATGAACATAAGTAACATGTGTGTTGTAAATAATTAAAGTTCCAAAAATGTTACTCTGCCCAATATCAATATATTTGATTAGAAATACTTAGCAAAGGGCTTCCAAATGTTTCCTATTATGTTCAAAGATTTCCCTGCTCTTTAAGGATACGTTTGCCGTTTAAATCACTCATTTTCTCTGATGCATGTAGGTATACTCAATACTAGCTTTTAAAGTAGAGAGTTACTGTTTTGGATAAATTTCTCTTGTTATCAGCTCTGATGACATAAAAAAATACAACCAGACCTATAATAGCTCAAGCTTAGATTAATGAAAGTTATAATTAACCTTGGTGAAACTCTTTATATCAAAGCAAACGTTGTGTTTTTAGCATTAAGACGTCCAAACGAGTATTTTCTGGAGATCCATCGATGATGATACACCACGCGTGCTTCATAGGTATTACCTGAACACGTTTTTCCGTCATAACCCGCACGACATAGACATCGAAAACCACTCTCTGTTTCAAAACAAGTTCCACCGTTTTCACAAGTGCCCGGCTGACATGGACTTCGTTCTGTTAATGGGAAACATAAATGCACACTTTAAATGAAAGTCCACAATTTCTAACTGGATATCGATTGTTAC